TTTAAAATAAAGAATTTTTAAAAAAAAGAATGAGAGACATGGAGGGGCTGGGGAGTAAAAAGACACACGGAGAGGCTGGGGGGAAAAAAGACACAGAGGGGTCTGGGGAGAAAGAGACAGAGAGGCTGGGAAAGGGGAACAGGAGACACACAGAAGGGGTTGGGGAAGGGGAGAATGAGACACACAGAGGAGCTGTGGGGAAAGAGACACACATAGGTACTGGGGCCTGGGAGAGAGACTCACAGAAGGGCTGGGAAAGGGGAGAATGAGACACACAAAGGAGCTGTGGGGAAAGAGACACACAGAAGTACTGTGGCCTGGGAAAGAGACTAACAGAAGGGCTTGGAAAGGGGAGAAAGAGACAAAGGGGCTGGGGCTAAGAGACACATGAAAGGGGAAGACATTGTATTAAAGGGACACTATAGTTACCAGAACTTCTACAGTTTAATGTAATGGTTCTGGTGTCTATAGCCTGTGCCTGTATGCTGAGCACTGTAAATGCTACCTTTTCAGTGAAAAGGCAGTGTTTACATTGCTGCCTAGGAACATCTCTAGTGACAGTCACTCAGACGTCCACTAGAGCTGCTTCCTAGTCTACTGCTGCACAGTGTGCAGCACCTATGTTGAGCATCTTCATGCTCTGCATGGAGGCGCTGAACGCTCCCCATAGAGATGCGTTTTGCCACAATGTTTTCCTATGGAAATTGGATTGGTGTTGATTGCCAAAGTGAAGAGCACACTCTTTTTACTTCAAAATAAGCACGATAATGTCAGTTTTTTTTACTGTTGAGCAATAGCATACATTCACAATTTCAGTCCAATTACGAAACTTTCCTTAACCCCTTAAGGACCAAACTTCTGGAATAAAAGGGAAACATGACATGTTACACATGTCATGTGTCCTTAAGGGGTTAATATGTCACGGTAGTTGTACTGAAACATCGATTATATGCAAATGCACGTCTGCTTTCAACAAATCTGCCCTTTTGTTTATTTTGAAGCCCTATGAGTGCTTTCTTTCACGTTTGAGTGATAGTTTTCAGGTTTTTTTTCTTCCCGTTTTCATATCTGCACACTATGCTGGCGCGATGCATTATGGGGCTGGTATTGAACTTTTTTCCAGGGCTGCTTTCCATTCACAGTCCGGTCTTGGATATATCTGTGTGTCATTGGCTTACAGGTGGTAGTGGAATCTAAAAGTATAATTCCGTTTCCCAAGAAAGGCAGAATAACGAGAAAATAAAAGTGGTCCAAGAAAAGTACGTTGGGGGACTCCAGCCGAGACAGGAAGAGGGGAGGAGGTGTTATTAGAAAAGGAGTCACTGAATGAACATTGGGAGAGATAGGGCAACGCCACTACAGGGCCTCTGAAAACAGATAAAGTGGTGTGGGGGCATTTTGTGCTCCTGCAACCCAATTATTAATCAAAGATCATAAAAAAACTTACACATAGCTTGTATGTACGTAGTGGGGAATCGCGATGCAGCCTAGAACAAATCTAGCCCCATTAACCCCTTAAGGACACATGACATGTGTGACATGTCATGATTCCCTTTTATTCCAGAAGTTTGGTCCTTAAGGGGTTAAACCCCCCAATAACGACAAACAACTTAGTATGGATGAACAGGCCACAGCATTTATTATAACATAAATAAATTACTGCATAACACATCCATAACTTTTTATTAAATCTCATCTTTCTGTAATGAAATAAATAATCATAAATTAACATATAAACATATTACTCAACACAGTGTTATGCAGTGACCCAACCGTCCTTGCCAATAAACATACAGTGGTTCCTAATCACCACTTCCTCTCACCTCCCCCCTCGTCATAAATCATCTCTTTCCAATGCCCGCCATCAGCCGACCTTATCCACGCTCGATGGGCACGACACCTCAGGCAACCTAATGTTAACCGTTTAAAGCAGTGGAGGTTGAGACCTGCAAACATAATGAACTTACTCCATCCTTAAACATAACCCTTCAAACTTAATTGGCAAGGACATACCCCCACCGCGCTGTGACTAACTAATCCTACAAGGGGTGGGTGGGCGGGAAGCTGTTTGCTGGCCCTAATCCCAAGTGGCACTGAGGTAAGACCTCCCCCACGCTAACTTATATTGAACCTAACCCCTCCCACACACATTACCCAAGTCACTCCCCTGCATCTATCCCCACACTCCTACATGTGCCCTTGTCCGCTTAGCTGCGCTATCTCCCCAGGGTCTAGTTAGTCCTTACAGTGGGATTTTGAGTCTCATTTCTTCATGTTTGATTTTTCATTGGATGTATATACAAAAACAGCTCGTAAAACGTGCAGGTCTTATGTCTGCAGCCTTTGCAAGCCCTCCCCATCTAACCCCGCCAGTGGCGGATCAAGGGCGGGCAATGGGACAATTACCCCCCCCCCGAGATTCTCCCCTGCCGGCTAACGCAGGGCTGGCACTGTCCAAGTGCCAGCCCTGCAATGTGCCTTCATGGACCGGAGGGGAGATCAGAGATCTCCCTCCCCGGTCCACAGGCAATGTTCTGACAGCCCGCAGGGGAGGGATGGAGAGAGGTCCCGGGAGCTCAGCCTGCAGTTCCTCCGGGTCCTTCTCTCGCGACTACGGAGCGTTGCCATGGTTACCACAGCAACGCTCCAAATCTCGCGAGAGTGAACTCTAGCCCTGGAGCTACGGGCTATAGTTCACTCTAACCACTGGGACCACCAGGGATTCACCACCAGACCACCAGGGATGGAGAAATGTCCCCCCTCCACCCAGTAAAGGTACATTTATTTATTTTATTAAATTTAAAAATATATATTAAAAAGCTTCCCTACCCTCCTTCCCCCCCCCATACACACACTGCCCCACAAACACTGCCCCCATACACTCACTGCCCCACAAACACTGCCCCCATACACACACTGCCCCTCACACACACACTGCACACCCATAGACACATTTCCTCCCACACACATAAACTGCACACCCATACACACATTGCCCCACACACACACTGCCCCCCATACACACATTGCCCCCCAGACACATACAGTGCCCCCATACACACATTGCCCCACATGCACACGACCCCCCATACACACACTGCCCCACATGTACATACAGTGCCCCCCATACACACACTGCCCCACACACACATACATACAGTGCTCCCCATACACACTGCCACCCATACACACATTGCCCCCACACACATACATACAGTGCCCCCCATACACACACTGCCCTACACACACATACAGTGCCCCATACACACTGCCCCACACATACACACACATACAGTGCCCCCCATACACACATTGCCCCACAGACACATGCAGTGCCCTACACACACTGCTGCCCCCATACACACATTGCCCCACATGCACATGACCCCCCATTCACACACTGCCCCACACATACATACAGTGCCCCTATACACACACTGCCCCACACACACATACAGTTCCCCCTCACACACACTGCCCCACACACAAATACAGTGCCCCCATACACACTGCCCCAAACACACATACACTGCAAGCCTCACAGACACACACACACACACACTGCAACTCTCACACACACTGCCCCGTCACATACACACTGCAGCTCTCTCACACACACACTGCTCCCCATACACACACTGCCCCCTAAAACACACACTGCAACCCTGACATACACTGCCGCCCTCACGCACTCACATGCCACCGCTTACACACACACACACACACACACACACACACACTGCACCTTTCACACACACTTCACCCCTAACACATACCACTGCTCCTATTCCCTATATCCCAGCAGACCCCAGGCAAGTTGTCAAACTATTCTTAAACAGTTTGACTACTTACTCTGGGATGGGATCCTGGCACTACTGGCACCATAACTACTACACTGAGCTGTAGTGGTTATTGTGCCTGGATTATTTCTTTATCTAATCTACAAGTGCCCCTCCCGAGATCAGGCTCTGGATCCGCCACTGAACCCCACCCAGACTTCTCAATGCAGTTCAATAAGAAGTCTTTGCAAGGCAGGTGCTCAGGGCATTTGCTGTCTCTTAAATTCAGTGCAAATAGGCTAACCAAACCAGGAAGTAACAGGACTGATGGTCTAATTGAAAGCCAGGGGGTGTAACCAGGTGTATTATTGAAGCATCAAGTTCTGTTGAACTCTGCACTCTTTGTAAAATGAAACAAGAGGACACGCTCAGCTAACTAAAGTACTATAGGGGTTCTGCAGTGTCTCTTTGATTTCAGTTGTTATTTTTGCATAAAATAAATTTTAATTAAAACTGAAAAGTCAAGAAATACTTGCCTCTAATAATATATATGAAAACAACAATAACACAAATTCCCACAGTACACACCCTAATTAAACGTGCTGCACACACCTATGTCAGTCATTGATGCATTGTCTTCATGATTTGATAACAGAGTGCATATGCAATGTGGCCACTAGATGGCAATATATGACAAATACACATCCCAATGGCATGTTCTCTCTGTATTTATAGTGCGGTTTTAAAAGGCCTCCCAAGCATCTCAATTATAGTGCAAGTGCATCATTAGATCTCTGCATTGTCGGTCCAGTGGGCTGCCTAGATGTTTAAAACTCAGACTGGGGGCACCGAAAGAGAATGGCCGCCTAATCCCAACACTCCGCGCCCTGCTGCCACAATCGGCCTACATCCGCACGAACCAGCGACACATGGGTCGCACAAAATGCACCCAGATCACCCCCTCAACACCACGGACGCAAGGAGAGGCCCCATCCGCGTCCATCCGTGCCTACCTCCGCACACCAGGGATCCTCGCCTCGCAACACGAGGCTTCCAATATGGAACCGTCCTCCTCGAGCCCCACAATATCGGAAGAAAGCCAGAAGCCATCTGACCTCCGGGACAGCAGCCCGCCGGAGTGGTATGCACTGTTTGCCTCTCTGCCGAAAAAGGAAGACCTTCAAAAGATTCTGGCGGAGGTAAGAACAACACTCGGCACGGAGATCACTCCGCTCCTCTCTGTCAGCACTAGAGGGGAGAGTAGAGGCCCTGGAAACTGCAGGCACACCAGCCCCAAGCAATACACCGCAAACCCCTGACACACAGTCACGACAAATCACTGACCTGCGGCTCCATGTTGAAGACCTGGATAACAGGAGCCGCAGGCACAACATCAGGGTGAGGGGGCTGCAGGAATCACAGGGCCCTGAAGACCTAAAGGACGCACTAATCCCCATCTTCAACTACATCCTGAACAGGCCCCCTGGGACAAGGCTATATGTAGACAGAGCACACCATGCCCTCAGCCCCAAACCACCACCATCAGAACCCCGAGGGACGTCATATGCCACATTCAAGACTTCCAATTGAAAGAAGCAATCATGAGGGCGGCTTGGTCGGAGAGGACCTGGAGGATTGGAAGGCACCGAATGGAGCTCTATAACAATCTCTCCCACATCACCCTATAAACAAGACGGGCCCTAAGGCCAGTCACTACTGCGTTACAAGACCAACAAATCCGTTACCGCTGGCAGTTCCCATTCGCCCTAGTAGCACGCAAAGGCACTATGGAAGCCACCATCAGTACACCAGAGGATGTACCAATCTTCCTAGAAGCACTGGGGCTTCCACCCATCCAGATAATGGATTGGGCAGGCCGGTAACAACAGAATCCTGGGCAGGCTGGTAATGCACACATTCCCTCCCGACGAACAAGACGCGGGCATGGCCCCACCGCTCCAAGCTGCACCCGAGGAGTAAAAGATGCCTGAAGCCGGAGACTACACCCAAACCTCTTCCACACCTGAAGACACGGGGTAAAGACACACAGACTTATGGACAGGACTTGAACTACCCCACCCCCGCCTTGTTATTTTGGACTTATACCCACGACGCTACCACCGCAAGCATGGAAGAACAGACCAGAAGAATGCCTGCCCTTGGGAACAGAAGACAGGCATTAACAGAAAATACCACAGACAAAGACTTTTTTTCCTCTCTCTCTCCTCTCTCTTCCCCCCTCCACTAGCAGGCCACCAATGCATCGCAGTCCACTGTGCGCAGAGAAGGCCCCATGTACAAACTGAGCCCACCCTGCTAATTATATCACATTGCCAATCACCGATGATTGAGCATACCTACACCAACCTCTGTAAGCTTGTATCACAATGCCTAAACCCCACTCGGGGCAAGCAATGGGGAGGGCGGGATTCAGGGGATTTGACTTATATGACAGTTTTAGCAGGGGGAGGGTGGGGGACTGAAATACAATGTTGCACGTAGGGACTATGGATGCCACCACGACTGACGGACACAGCATGAAATCACCCTGACTAGAGTCGCGCAACACATGACCTCAGAAGACGGGCACCACACAGAACACAGAATTCACCAGGAGGTCCGCAAAAGAAAAGAAAAGCACCCACACCTCGCCCCACCTACTTGACCCTGGCTCCCCCGGACTGCCCTGGCCGCCGACACGACGGCGCGGCCGGGGCAAGCCCGGGGGACCCCTCTAGACCTTGTACCCCCCCCACACACTTCCATTTCTGCCTAGACCGGCAGCCGCACCCCCAACAGAACCCAATGGACACACATACTGACACCCGTTTGATAAGGGGACTGGGAGCTGGGATGGGAGGGTCTCCAACCGAAGAAGGCTTCAGAGGACGGTAACTAACTGTTTACTATAGCTCATACACTGGTCATACTGGGACGTTATCTAATGTTGAAATGTTATACCTTGATGTTTTACCCATCCTAATGGTTTATCTACTTGATCATTTGCAGCAGGACTCGGATGACCCCATGCAGTGCTTATCCAGACCCACTACTACGGTAGCCCCACCGGTCAGAGGCACACCACCCACACTCCAGCGGGTTTACTGCCATACAACAGGACCAGGATGCTGGGTTACGCTCCCTGGCGAACTCCGCTCCTGAGGCAAACCACCCCTCTCTCACGCCACCACCCAGGAACGGCGGACAAGATACAGGTACCAACACACCACATACTAGCAAAAAGGCCCCTGGTCTACAGTAACTATCCTATCTACACCCCCACCACACACCACCACCCTTGTTGGTGAAGCACCATACCGAAGGGCAGGCTGCACTTCCCCGCGTGCCCCTGACTGGAAGCCAGCAGCGGTGCCAGTAGGGCATGCCCGTGGGACCTCCCCCGGCTACAGCGCCCCCTCCATATAGGAGGAAACTATCTCTTCTCTGTCTTTCCCCCACTCCCTCTATTTCCCTCCCCCCTCCTCCACCCCCTCCTCCTCCCTCCCTTCTCCCTAGGTGGACCGCCTCCCCCCAGCCCCCGAGATGCCCAGGACTCCGCACCGCACCGGAAACGAGCCATGGCTGGCGTCCACCCTCTCGCTCTATTTGATCAATGTGAAAGGGCTCAATTCCCCACAGAAACGGGTGAGAGCCCTGCGGGAGCTGAGAGCACTACACATCTCAATCGCCTTTTTCCAAGAAACACATTTCAAGACGCGCAACCATCAGCAATTCTCCTCCAAATACTACCCACTGGGCTTTCATGCCACGAACCTAGAGTCGAAAACCAAAGGAACATCAATCCTCTTTTCCTCCGACACTCCATTCAGGAAGGAAGCAGAGATAGCAGACCCAGAGGGAAGATACCTCTTCCTGAAGGGCACCATACACCAAACCCACTTCACACTCGCGAACGTGTACCTACCCAACAAAGGCCAGAAACCCTTCCCCAACAAAATTCTAGCAGCCCTAGAACCCTTCAGTGAAGGCATCCTGACACTTGGAGGAGACCTTAATGCCCCCTTGGACCAGAGACTGGACACTTCTAGGGGCACCTCAAACTTCCCGGAACACGTGCTCCGAGGCATGAGGGAGAACTTGCACAAATTTCAACTGTCTGACTGCTGGCGGGTCCTACACCATGCCACAAAGACTACTCATACTACTCTCCAGCCCACAAATCCTACTCTCGTATAGATTACTGTTTCACTTTACCACCGCCACCTCGACGACCTACACTCGGCCACGATTGCACCAATGACTTGGTCGGATCATGCCCCAAACATTATTACGCTCACATCACCCACGCCCTTCCACAAACAATGGGTCTGGAGACTCAATGAATCGCTACTGGAAGACCCACTGCTCAAATAGAAGATCAACTAGAACACTTCTTCCTCACGAACACGCCAAGAGATTCCACCCCGGAGACCATCTGGGAAGCACATAAATGCGCAATACGAGGCACCTTAATCCACCAGGGGGCGCAGCGCAAGAAACAACGCGCCAAGGCTATCATGGACCTCCTCCAGAAGGTCGCCGAACTGGAAACAAGACACAAAACCACACTGGACGAGGATGCGTATACAGAACTGGTCGAGGCTCGGGCTGCCCTAAACTTGCACCTGTCCCACAAGATAGAATTCCAACTTCGCATGGCACAAAAGACTTATTATGAATAAGCAGCAAAATGCTAGCCAGAGCTCAGGAAGAACAGACAAAAAAGCTTCATAAACAGAATTGTCCACAATGGCACAACTCATGCCACACCAAAGTCCATAGCGGAAGGCTTCCATGATTATTATGAATCACTGTACAACATCTCTGCGCTGGGCACAAACTCAGAGGAAATAGAACCCAGCAACCACGCCTTACGACGACAGGCTTACCTAGACACCCGCATCCACCGAAAACTAGACGATGAAACTGCACACTCCATGGAAGAACCGATTACGGCAGAGGAACTATCCTCATGTAGCGGTACTTACCTTACCTGGGGGCCGGCCGAAGTCCTCTCTTCCCACTGCGCGCGGCTCTCGAATGAAGGCGGGCACGGACCGCGAGATGCGGTCACATGTCCCGTCTAGCTCTAAGAGCGTGCCGCGCGTCTCGGGCACGCTCTTAAAGGGGCAGTGGGAGCCAAATAAAACAATGGTCTCCCATTGGCCCCTGTCATCCCACATTCCCCAGACACTCATATTTTGGGGGCGTGGATATGACAGGGGCCAATCAAAGTAAAGTTTAAAGTATTTATACATACCTCTCCCTTAACTCCCTGCCCTTTCAGTTCCCTTTAGCGCTTGTTGTGTTCAGTTGTGATTTTCGTGCTTGACCTTGGCTTTGTATCTGACTCTGTTTATCTATTTATCCCTGTTTTGTCTTGTTTGCCGGCTTACTGACTACTGTGTACCAGACCTTGGCTAGTTTTTGTTCTCGCAGTCTCTTTGTTCCCTTGACCTCGGCTTGTTCTTGACTCTGTCTATTCTCTGCTATACGGCGAGTCCGGCCATTCTAAGGTCCGGTAAGTCGTATCTGCTCTATCTGTCGGTTGTTGGACTAAATTGTGCGTATAGGGGTAAACTACCGTGACACCTCAGCCCTGAAGCTGGCCAAAAATGGGAAAAGCCCAGGACCGGACGGCTTTACCACCAAATATTACAAGACATTCTTTAAGACCCTGGCCACACCCCTACTTAATATGCTCAATGGAGGCACGCTAGACCGGAACACGTTACTAGCGCACATTGTAGTATTACCAAAGGAGGTAATGTCCCAGTTACAGGCCAATCTCCCTATTGAATGCGGACCTAAAACTGCTTGCAAAGATCTTAGCGCTCCTTATTCAACCGACCCTGCCACAACTGATCCAGGTGGGGTTTATCAGATACAGGGAAGCACGAGACAACACTACAAAAGTGATCAACCTGATACACGCAGCCAGAAAGACCATGGCGCCTTCGCTTCTGATATCTACAGATGCGGAGAAGGCATTCGACAGGGTGGATTGGCCTTTCCTGTTTGACACACTGAAACATGTGGGAATAGGACCAAACATGCGGGCATGGATCGGAGCTCTATACAGCAATCCAACCACACGGGTCTATGTAAACAACACACTGTCTAACCTGTTTGTGATACGGAATGGCACCAGACGGGGTGCCCCCTCTCACCCCTGCTGTTCATCCTGAGCCTGGAACCAGTTCTCATGCCGTAAGGGAACGGCCAGATATTAACGAGATACGCGGCGGATGGGGGGAGAGCAAACTATTCTGCTAGAAAACATTCTGCTAGCATTTCCTGCTGCTCTATTACATTGTCTGCCTACCTTTAAGTCATCAGAAATGATCACCCCTAAATCCCTTTCCTCATATGTTGAGGTTAGGACTCTATCAAATATTCTGCACTCTGCCCTGGGGTTTTTACGTCCAGAACCCACTAACGTCTTTCCTGGCCAACATGCAGGAATTCGAACAGTACAATGCCCTAACAAATCTTCAAATCAACTATACAAAATCAGAAATCCTCCACATCGGATGTGACCGCACACTGATAGCCTCACTTAAAACGCGCTTCCCGCTCCGCTGGCGCAAGGAAGCAATCAAGTACCTGGGAGTATGGATAACCTCAGATATCTCGCACTTCTTCCGACTCAACTTCCCTCCCCTACTGGAGACGGTGACTGCAAACCTCAAAACGTGGATGGTGCCTCATATCACCTGGCTGGGACCTTCTACAGACACTGCCAATACCAATCCCCCAGACATTCTTCGCCCAGGTGCGCAGAGCCTTCACAACATACATATGGAACAACCGGACGGCCAGGATTAAATACGAGATCCTGATGAAACCCCAACCGCAGGGCGGCCTTGGGCTCCCTGACCTAGCCACATACCACCGAGCTATCCATCTACTACGGATAATCGAATGGACAACAGCACCCCTGGATAAACTCTGGACAAACATAGAAGCCAGCTTCACGACACTACCTCTGCAAACACTCCCGTGGCAACCCACAACACCAGTGACCAGGGGAGACCGAAGCCACCCCACAATAGCCGCCACCCTCCACATCTGGAAGAAAATATCGGCAGGGGTGGACCTCTCCCCACCTACTTCCCCTCTCTACCCCGTCATGAGTAACCTGGCATTTAGTGGCCTGGACACCGCCTGGACCACCAGATCTATTGACAAGATTTAGACATCACCAAATCACACTCAGACTCAAACAGTTACCTAACATAAATTCGGCCGACAGACCGCTAACCACGTTTGAGACAAAGTGCACCCAGCCACTCCCCCCACCACATGACATATCACTGCTTTACCGGCTACTGCAAACACCGCCAACAAACCAGAACTTCTCGTATTTCACTAAACACTGGGAACGAGACTTAGGCCACCCTCTTACAATAGAACAATGAACCAACGCCTTTAACGCTGACAGCACGAAATACCAGGAATCCGGATACAAACTCGCTTCTATTAGCAACACCTGCACACTGGAATGCTGGAGATGCGGCAAGGAGCTGGGCACGCTATTCCACATATGGTGGTCGTGCACCCAGATCCAACCATATTGGCAAGAGATTCCCCCTGATCATCTCGGTAATCATGGAAGACTCCGTTGAATACACTCCAAAAACCTATCTACTCCACATGACCCCCATACTGCTGAAGACCTACAAGAAAACCGTCATTCCATATTTGATAAACGCCGCATGCAGCCTCGTCCCGACAGAGTTCATCCCCCTCCACCAAGGATTGGATCACTAGAGTGGAAGACATCAGGAACATAGAGGAAATAATCCTGATGGCAAGGGGAAAGAGCCAGACCTACCAGAAAATATTGTACCACTTGACACATTGGCTAACAACAATCTACCCAAGCCGGATAGGAAACACACAACTTTCAGCGGCGATAGAATAGCCCCCATAATGGAAACAAGGACACCACATACGGCGGAGCCACCTCCAGATGCCTCCCCGCTCGGGGCGGTGGGAGGAGAGGGGACCCGGAGCCGACCCACTGACACCCCCCCTCTCCTACTAGATACCATCCCTTGCCTCCAGACCTGACCCCCTCCTCCTCACCCTCACGCTCTTCCGTCACTCCTGGCTTCTGGATGCAATACTCCTCCACTCTGGAGGAACAATACACACAGTCGGCCCAGGCCGAACAACCACACAGTGGCAAAGACCCCCGAACAAAGACCCGGAGCCGACTCACTGACACCCCCCCCTCCTACTAGATCCCATCCCTTGCTTCCAGACCTGACCCCCTCCTCCTCACCTTCACGTTCTTCCGTCACTCCTGGCTTCTGGATGCAATACTCCTCCACTCTGGAGGAACATACACACAGACGGCCCAGGCCGAACAACCACACAGTGGCAAAGAGCCCCCCCCGAACACAACCCTGACACCAGTGGCCCACCCTCCCCGACCCTACACCTGCCAATGAGCAACCGACATTTCGGAAACATACAAACTGGTAACACGACAGGACCACAATGTTGCCCAGGGAACCCATACATGCAGCCAACACTACGCAAAAACCTCCTCATCCAACTCATGAGGGAGGGAAGAAAAGTACCCCCGGACAAGAGCACCCAATCCACCAACACCCCACAGCTATGAGACGTACGATACCACCGGTGATAATCAACTTTGTAACATACCCAGACCGCTGCCAACCTGGCACATGGATCATTAACTGACAACTTGCCACTGAGAGACCGCAACCCACTCAGTACGATCCAGACAGGACTAGACCTGAGCTGACATGTGCACACCCAGACGGACACACCATACCTCTGAGGAGGCAACAGCAGGCACTCATACGCCTGCTAAGACTTAGCCCAAAACCCTGGCCATCAGGATGTGCAGACTGGACACTGAGATTTTTCGAATGGCCAATCACAACCTAGGACCGCTTAAAAATGAAACGGGTTAGGTGCACTACCCTTGCCCAAAAGCACTATCCCCCGAGTAAGCAACCGTCCATGTATATAAATATCACATACTGTTCCATATCCAACGCATGCTATGACCTTACACATAAAACGAGACAGAAGTGAAGTAGCGGGTGGACGGGACCTAATTGAACTGCCATAGGCCATAGGCCTGGGGAGTAACGCAACATCCTAATCCCACCTTGGAATATCAGTTACGTTGGCGCAACCGGGGATACTGGGTACTCATGTGGATCAGAAATGCAACCCATTCATGCACCCTAAGAGCGTTCACTTAAGGATGACTCTTGATGCATATTCAGCTCGACTTCCTGTATCTTGTTTTATATCCTGTTCTTTATCTTTTGGCATATCTTGTTTTATTTCAAAAATGTGCAACGTACCAAGACAAGCAACTCTGTTTCCCATACAATGCTTACATTTCTGCCATAAGTCACTGCATACATATATCTGTACCACTGCACAACAAAATAAAGAATGTAAAAAAAAAAAACTCAGACTGGAATGCATTCACGCCAGAATGACCTTCCAGTTCTTTTGGCGAACCCATTCCAAGTAGGTCCACCTCCTTCGAGCATCGCCAATGACGCCATTCATGTCACCGATCCGCCAACTTTTTACCCGACAACCTGCATCCCACAATTATGCTATTAGTGATGCAAGGGTATGGTTCTATTTAAATGCCTGTCACCTAAGGACCAGAGCTCTTTCAAGGCTTCTAAGCATTTAAACGCATTCTTTTTCTGGTCCTGACCCGACTTTAAGTCCTGATTTTAAGTTATACTTTTTGGTTTCCTTCACCTCGTCACCGTTTAGTATTTTTGTGTTTCCTGACCTGACCTGTCCTGACTTCAAGCTTAGCTTTACTATGGCCTGTATGTAGTTGTTAGTCTAAGCGCTGATATCTTTTATCTATTTCTTTCTAAGTGTTAAGCCCAGCCACTCTAAGGTCCGATAATATGCCATTCTATCAATTATTTGGTCAGGTGGGTTGCTGACTTATATCTTGCCGAGAATCCTTACCTGAATTCTGATACAAATTAAATAACTTTGTATGTATCACTGTATTATTTTTACTTTTCTATACAAAATATTAAAATAAAGGTTAAAGGACCACTATAGTCACCCAGACCACTTCAGCTCAATGAAGTGGTCTGGGTGCCAGGTCCCTCGGGTTTTAACCTTTCAGATGTAAACATAGCAGTTTCAGAGAAACTGCTATGTTTACATTGCAGGCTTAATCCTGCCTCTAGTGGCTGTCTTCCTGACAGCCGCTAGAGGCGCTTCTGCGACGCTGGATGTGAAAATCGCATCCAGCGTGCAGAACGTCCATAGGAAAGCATTAAGAAATGCTTTCCAATGGACTGTTTGAATGCGCGTGCGGCTCTTGCCGCGCATGCGCATTCCGCTCCACTCGGGAGCTGACGTCAACCGGGGAGAAGAGGTCACCAGCGCTGAGGTAGCCCGGCGCTGAATTAAGGTAAGTAACTGAAGGGGTTTTAACCCCTTCAACGCCAAGGGAGGGGGGACATAAGGGTTATATAGTGCCAGGAAAACAAGTTTGTTTTCCTGACACTATAGTGATCCTTTAACATTGGCTTGGAAAGTACCTGTAGGTCAATCAACTTTTTGTGTGCTATATTGATGCATTGTCCATCAATTGAGTTCAAAGCAATGTCTACTTGAAATCGATTACAAGTCAGCCTCAACGTTAAAACCACCTGTCTAATATTGTGTAGCCCCCCTTGTGCTGTCAAAACAGCTCAGATGCCTCAAGGCTTGATCTGTGTTATCTGGCTCCAAGATATTAGCAGCAGATCTTTTAAGTCGTGAAAGTTGCGAGGTGGGGACTCCATGAACCTTTCTGCCTAATATATCCCACCCCTTGACAGGTGCCATTGTAGCGATATAATCAATGTTATTCACTTCACCTGTCAGTGGTTTTAAGGTTAAAGCTGATCTGTGTGTGCCTTTGGTTTTCATTTTGAGCTGTTTTTTGCTTTTACACATTGTGTGCACACATATGGACCAAAACATCCTTTCTTTGTTTTAAAAGGACAATCTAGGTACCATAGCCACTTCAGCTCATTGGAATAGATATGCAGGTAGGAGTCTCTTCCTACTGGTTTTAATCGTTTTAACATATTTACATGAAAGTCACCAGGCACTCGTTGTTCTGGAATGTAAATTAATTAATGTGGATAAGCCATATTATTCCAAATCAGTTATGGGTGGCAATGATGGTCTGGGTGGCAACTACAGCTTCTAATTGCAAAGCATCACTCCAAGCATAAGAGAGAGAGTGGGCTGTGACCGCCCAAGTAAGCTCATTTACTTTGGACAGTGGGATGACACCAGAGGCTTCAGACATTATAACCATTTCAATGAGGTGAAGAGGTTGTGGTGTCTAGGATATCACGTTAAGCTGTAATAAGCAATAAACGTCCTTACTAAGCCTTATGAGTGTACTTCATCTGATAAGTATATAAATTATTTTTGTAAATGATATCCCTGATAAAAGCGCCATCTGACCACCTTTACACCTCCCTGTGTTCAGTTACAAAATGGTGACACTTCCTTCAAAATTATTGCAGTCACATGATTTGTTGAAGTATGACAGGACGTTAATATGCCACAATTGATTATAATTTACAACCGTGATGAATGTTAATAGCACTTGACATTGCTGTATTTTTTAGCACCGCCTGTCACATCAAATTTTTCATCAGGCTAGAGGTTGGTAAATAATATTATCCGTTACTACTATTTATAACGATATATTGGTGAACTGAACCAGCCAGAAAAACAGTTTCAATTTTTGTGTTTTGTCAGTGTTTTAGAAATTCCATCCGTTTCTGTGTATCACTGTAAGAAGTAAACCTCTCTAAACTGGTCACAGAAATTATCATTTTGTGTCACACGTCCCGGGCAGATTAGAGAACGTGAGACCAACTCTGAAGGGCTTATCAATTAATCCATGAATTGCATTGCATAGAAAACCGATTTGCAAAATGCAGGATGAAATATCAAGCTGATTTGAAGAATTTAATTCAGTTAGAACAAACCTTTGAACTGCATAATTTGGCTAAATACGCCCCAAAACCTCTGGTTATTTGCACACTTTTTGGTAACACTTAGCAATTCACTGTTTAGTACTAAATAAAGCCATTATAGTAATGTTTAACAATGTGTGTTTTTTTTTTATGTATCTCAGAATTTGACTGTTAAATTCATTAAAGTGTTAACACTACCCCAAGCCGTGATGAATTCTTGTTTACCACCTCTGCCAAGATGCTGTTCCATGTATCTACAGCTTTTGTTTTCCACTATAAAGAATTACTGTTTATAAGCAAAAAATTATTTTCATTGGACGTTCACAAATCTTGACAGCAGAATCGTATGGGTTCATAAGAAAACGACAAACATCTTTATTGAGAGTGTATATATATATATATATATATTTTTATTTTTTTTTATTTATTTTTTTAATTTATTTATTTATTTATTTTTACAGCTTGTAGAAGCTGGCTGGACACTGATATTTACTTAATGAGGAAGTAAGGCAGTAAAATGCCAAAGGGAAATTTGCAAGGTATTTTCCAAGTCTGTTGACAAACTAGAAAACTCGAGAAAAATGTCAGAATGAAAGTACATCAATGGTTTGTACCTCATAACTGATGAAAACAATACGAATGCTCTCTCGTCAGCTGTGTTATTTCATAAATTATGAATCATTAGGAATTCAAAGTAAACACAAACTGAAATTAAAATTTTAAGTAAAAAATAACCATATTGAAAAAAAATCCCCAAAGTTAGCTACGTTTCCTGTTTCGCCTAAAAGTTGAAGTTCACGGTGAATTAATATATTAATTGGGGAGCAGGGCTCTTCTTGAAGGCAATGCAACGTTTTCATAGTATATTATGTGCTAAGATAAGGCGTATGGTTAGGAGGTAGAAATGGAGAAAGTTATGGAAGTAAAAGAGAGTTAGGACATACTATGGAGAAGAACATAGGATATAGGAAGATAAAAGCGAGGTAGGCAGAGGGTTAAGAGGTAGGTATAAGGGGGTATACAAGATATTTAGGAAGATGGTAAGGAAGAGGGTTAGGAGGTAGGTAAGTAGAAAAGTTATGAAGTAGCTCTGGAGGCTTGCTTTGAGGAAGGTGTGGAAGCGGAGAGGTAGGTAAGGAGTAGACATAGGAGGGTGGTTGGTGGACCGCTAACATAGAAAAGGAACGAGGGTATTTATGATGTAGGTAGAGAAGAGATTTAGAAGGTTGGTAAGGAGGAACATGAGAAAGTAGATAAGAGGTGGGTTATGAGTTAGCAAGCGATAGAGATAGGACACAAGATTAGGAGAAGTAACATGTTTTTGTCATATTAAATGTTGGCTTTTGACATTGGTCTCCAGATGTGACCCTACATACCCAGCCCTTTGTACAGCCGTTCTGTCTAAATGGAATGAACATGAACTCTGGGTAAATCTCTGTGGCTATAACAGGTTTATCTGCGCTGCCCCATGACAATCTTTTTCCCACGGCTGAGTGAGAATCTCTTTTACCCACAAGGCATTATTCCCAACTCTGTTCTCATGGACAACACAACAAAAGAACCAGATAATAGCCCCATTCATGGCTGCGTCCACACTGTGTGCATACAAGGGCGGCTGAAAAAGCATGAAAAATCAAAAGCACTTACTAAGTTAACATCTTCACCAGAGAACGCAATCCAGAATTCATTTGATTGCTTTCTTTTTTGTTGTGTTTGCTGTAAAGGTGATACAATGAAACTTATATTTAAAGGGGTAGGCTGCTACTGGTGTGGCGATTTAATATTTGACGCACTCACTGCTATAACCTGCCCATTGATAGATATCTGTGTGCGCCCTTGCAAGAGTGTATTGCAAACAAAAATATTGATTCGCTACAGGATATGTTACAAGTAAATGTAATTTGTTTGGACATTTTTTAAGCGCCATTTGTTTTTATAAGTAAATGTGACATGTTCATTAAAGCATTCACTAAATGCGACATTTTCACTGTGTATAATTCAGACAGATTTTCTTACCTCCAGAAGTGGCAATATGCTACCAGAAATCACTACTAATGCTAATTCCATTTTGTCATGTTTGTAAATGTAATTATGCGCAATGACTGCGATCCCCTGCGTGACTCGCGGGGGGAGCAAACTACCCCACTGGTTTTCAATAGCAGTTACTTGATTACTGTCTTTGGAGAATTCTGTGAATCTGCCATAAGTGAGGTTTTAGTGGAATTGCAGGATTTTTTTTTAGTGTTGCAGATGCCAAAGATCTTTTTTCTGGATATACAATACAAAGCAGGAATAAACCAACGAAGAGGAGGAATCCAAGAAGGAGCAACCTCTCTGACCCTTGGGATTAAGTTGTGGTCTATGAGGGGTTTCAACGATTCCATTGAAGGAGAGTCTTACGATCACTAAGCTTCTTAACGATCCGTTGACAGCCAGACCTGTCTACAAAACACTACACACAAACCAGCATTACTTTGACCATTGAACACGGTGGTCACACCACCAGCATCCCTAACTCCAGCTGTCAAACTGTAAACGAAGACTTAATTTGGCAACTACATTTCACCATCAAAGGCATTCTTTAAAAGACTGTATAATCCACTGAAATTCACCTTTAACTTGTGTTCACCTTTTTTGCGTGTGAAGCGTCATTTTCTTTTGAACGTATATTAAAGACATAGTAAATTACATCACAATCTAGTTTAGTCCTGGCAGAGGCAGGGCACACAATTCATTAGAGGAGAAGAGACAGAAACGTTACTTGTTTTTCTCCACACACGTGTTTGTTCAATGACAAAAAAGCTGAGCTTATACCAGCGATGGCGAACCTGTGGCATGCATCCCACAGCTGACACACTGAACACTCTCTGTGGGCACGCAGCCATAGGTTGTCGGTAGTGTGCCCACGTGTGTCCCGGATTGCCCCGGACCGGTGCCAGCCCTTCCTATAGGTGACTTGGGCAGTCGCCTAGGGTGCACCGGCCCAGGGGGCACCAGATATGCGCTCCCTCCTGCCAGTCACTCTGAGGAAGTGCTCAATGAGAGAGCACTTTCTTTAAGTCCGGCCAGGTACAGGAAACAGAAGCTCCTATCCTATACCGCGGTTCATGCTGCCCAGCCATGCTACACAGAAGTCACAACAGGGAGGGGACTTAGCACCAAGGGGAGTGGGAGAGAGGAACACTAAAAGGGAGGGAGAGACCACTAAAAGGGGGGGAGGGGAGAGGAGAGACCACTAAGGGGTTGGGGGAGAATAGTGACCACTAAAGGGGGATAGGAGAGACCACTAAGGGGGTGGAAGGAGTGACCACTAAAGGGGAGAGAGGGGAAACCACTAAGTGGGTGGTGGAAAGGAATGACTACTAAAGGGGAGAGACCACTAAGTGGGTGAGAGGAATGACCACTAAAGGGGAGGAGAGAGCCACTAAGGGGAGAGGAGAGGAATGACCACTAAAGGGGAGAGGAGAGACCACTAAGTGGGTGAGGAGAGGAGTGACCACTAAAGGGGAGAGGAGAGACCACTAAGTGTGTGGGGAGAGGAATGACCACTAAAGAGGGGAGAGGAGAGACCACAAAGGGGGTGGCGGGAGAGGAGTGACCACTAAAGGGGGAGAGAGGATAGAACCACTAAGGGGAGGGGGAGAGGAGAGACCACTAACAAGGGGTGGGGGGAGAGAACCAGAAAAGGGGGGGAGGGGAGAAAACCACTAAGGGGAGGGGGGGAGAGGAGAGACCACTAAGGGACAGAGGGCAGGGTAGAGCTCTAAGGATGGAGGGGACAGCTCTAAGGGAGGAGAGGATAGAGAGCACTAAGGGACAGAGGGGTAGGAAGAACACTAAGGGACAGTGGGGCAGGGGAGATCACAGGGTGACAGGGGAGAGAACTAAGGGACAGGAGAAGATGGGAAAGCACTAAGGACAGGAGGGGGAGGGAGAGCACTAAAGGTGTCTGTGTATCTGTGAGTGTCTGTGTATCTGTAAGTATGTGTGTGTGTATCTGTGTGTCTGTGTATCTGTGAGTGTCTGTGTATCTGTAAGTATGTGTATGTCAGTGTGTCTGTGTATCTGTGAGTGTCTGTGTATCTGTAAGTATGTGTGTGTCAGTGTGTGTGTATCTGTGTGTCTGTGTATCTGTGAGTGTCTGTGTATCTGTAAGTATGTGTGTGTCAGTGAGTGTGTAGCTGTGTGTCTGTGTATCTGTGAGTGTCAGTGTGTATAATTGCCGTGTTTAATTGCCTGTGTTGGCACTTTGAGGAAAAAAAGTTGCTTTGTATTGCGGTTTGTAAGTTGGTTTGTACACGGGCT